ATTCATTTTTAAAACCGAAACATGTTTTAAGACCTTTGTGACCAAGTGGGGGTATGTACAAATATGTTCAAGTGTTTTCATTAAAAATAAAACAACCTGTCAGCTGGGCACAAGTGGCTCACGCCTATAATGCTCACTACTCAGGAGGCTAAGATCTGAGGATCATGGTTCAAAGCCAGCCCAGGCAAGAAAGTCTGTGAGACTCTATCTCCAATTAACCACCAGGAAACTGGAAGTGGCACCTTGGCTTAAGAGGTAGAGTGCTCGCCTTTAGCTGAAGAGTGCAAGGACAGTGCCCAAGCTCAGAGTTCAAGCCCCATGATCAACAACAAAAAAAAAAAAAACCTATCATGGTGGTATGAGGTGCAATAGAAAAAGTCTTTTCTGTTAAACTAACGTGCTTATGTTTTGTTTTGTGTTGATATTTTCTGAAATTATTTGCTTTTTTATTTCAGTTGTAACTAGTCTCTGTGCTGCTTGTGACCTGCAGCCAAATTAGGGAAATACAACTTTAATAGCTCCTTTCTAATCTTGGTAATTAATTAAACTTAGAATATGAGCCTAACTCCTTGATGAAGTAGTTTAGATTGTGATTTAAAAAAAAAAAAACTAGCAAAGTGCTCTTCCCAGGCAGCCTAGCTCTGAGTTGAGTAAGAATATTGTATCATTTTGCATGAAATTGCCTTGAGGAAAATCTCCTGTGTCCATTGTGTGACTATCCATCTCTGACACCAAAGAGTCATCCTGCAGTTAAAAATGGAGAGTTTTAAACTCAAACTGAGAAGACAGTCATCAGATTTGGGTGATAACAAATGTTTCACAGAATTATTACATTGCATTAAAAAGGAACTTTAGTTAAAAGTTTTATAAGGGTTATTTTAAATGCAAATTTAAGCAAAGGGAAGTTAGAAAAGAAAGCCTTTGGAAAGAAAATTGAGAAAAGAAAAGGTTGTCTTTGGATTAAAAAGAATCTGGGAAGCAAGAATTGTCCTAAATGTTTCTTTTGAGGTGGAGAAAGGAGGAAATTAAGACCAAAGGTTTGACTGAGTAGCAATGGTTTCAATCTTAATGAATATCCTAAAGTACTATATCCAGTTAAAAATTACTAGAACATTTAATCAGTTGCTGTTTCAAAACTTTCATCATGATTAAGATAGAGTTTTACCTTTACAGATTTAGTCTCCTGCAGCAATTATAGTCAGGCGCACAGTGGGACAGACAATTCCTACAAGTCTGTCATTTAATTTTGATGCTAATAAGCTCCAGGCAAGCACTGCTTAAAAACTATTTCTATTGATCTCCTTGTTGCTTCAAATAGAAATAAAATGGGCTATTGGCAAAGACTTTCATTTGATTTGTCAGTCACCTCCCTCCAACTTGAGATTCAACCCACTAGGACAGGTCATCTCAGCAACAAGCAAAAATGTCAACTAGGACATTATCCTGGTACAAAGCTTATCCTGGCAATGAGGAGATGAGTGATCATCCAGAGACAGTTGGAAAAAAAAACTGTTCAGATAAGAGAGAACAGTATCAGATCCTGAATGGAGTCAGTTGTGCCTGAGACAGGAGGTCATCAGAAAATAGTTTATAAGCACACCTATCTAATGCCCAGAGCGAAGCACAGAGGATTCTTACAAGTTTGTCAGCTGTAACTCTGGCTCTTAATAACTTCCAGGTAAGAGCATTTTTAAAAGCTACTTCTATGTTGACCACCTTGTTGCTTTTAATTGGAGTAAAGTGGCCTTTTATAAGACTTATTAATCTGCAAACTGGTTCAAAGCCAGCCTGGGCAAAAAAAGGTCCTTGTGATACTGTCACCTCTAATCAGCCAGCAAGTGCTGAAAGAGCAAGCAGAGTTGCTTTGGGACTCAAAGTGGCAGAGTGCTAACCTTGAGCTGTAGAGCTGAGGGACAGCACTCAGGCCCGAGTTCAAGTCCAGCAACTAGCTCAGGGAAATGCCAATGAGGCATTTATCCCAGTGTGGAAAAGACACTCCTGGAACAAAAGCACTGGTGGAGCATCCAGAGGCAGTAAGCCACTGCTTGGATGGCAGAAATAATGTCAGATCCTAGAGTCATTTGTGCGTGGCCCTTCAAAAAATTGGTCAGAGCCAGGAGGTCATGGGAAGATAGTTTGTAAGCATGCCTAGTGTCCATGACTATCTGCCTTGGAAGGGACAGAAACCTGCCTGTCCTCTGTGATCATAGTAAAAAGCTAAAGTTATAAAATGTGGGGGATAGTTTAAATTCCAACTCCTATATGTGCCAAAATCCCTAATTGGCAGTAACTGAGCTGACACCAGCTACATGAAATTCATCTGTTCCAAAAAAAAGCGGGGGGGGGGGGGGGGGGGAAGGGGTTTATAAACCTGAGAGTGTGTTTCTATTAACATTTGTCTGAAGGCCTGCACAGGTAACTTAGGCATTGTTAGGGTCACTAGAGATCACATTCCTAAGCCATCCAGAAAGATGCTTTTGCAAACCAGAGTGCTAAACAAGCTACACTGTTGTAGCTGGAGAAAAGTCTGTGCAGTTGTCAAAAGTTAAAATGTTGTTCTTAATGACATCTAACCCTGGTAGCCTCTTTGTAAAATAGGCTAAGGTTATAGGTTCCTGGCTAGGTAGGATCAACGCCCCTGAAGTCAGCTTGAAGAAGTTACAGAAGATGGACCTTCGCCCATCAACCCCCTTTTAAGATCAAGAGTCCAGAGTCAGTTATGGGAAAATGAGGCAAAATAGATAAAATAATTTTTTTTAGAAAAAGGCATAAATAATATTGTTAACAGGTGTGCAAGTGTGGAGACTGCATCTGTCGGAGATGGTTACAAGACTAAGCCTTCAGTTAAAGACTGACCCATAAAACAGTTTGTAATCTGGCTCCAACTGGTGACACCACATGCTTACGGTAAACCCTGCCTTTGCACATGCTTAGGGTAAACTCTGTGTGGTCTGGTATGACTGTACAATCCTCTGTGTGTGTTATGATCCTATTGGTCACCTGAGCATGACCAGGCTCGACCTCATGGATTTTACCTTTCAAAACCAAAGAATGGGGACTGCTCAGGGTCGCAGTATCAGCTCCCGAGCCTGTGCTGCGGCCCTGACCAGTCAGTGTAGGAACCTTCTCAATAAAGTTGCTTCTTTGTTAACAACTTTGTTGTGGTGGGCTCTGTCACTCCAGACGACTAGGTGGGCTTGTCTGCCTGAGTAAGGGTCTTCCTGCTACACTGCCACTGCCCAAGAAGCTTCCTTAAAACCCATGGGGCATATTTTATTGACTGTTTCCAACCTCAGCCTGCCATCCAAGACAGCATACTTAGAGGAATTCCCATGTAACATTTGGACTTTCTTACTCCAGTTGGCTTCCAAGTGAGATCCTCTGATCTCAGCCTCAGGAGTAGCCAGGATTTCAGGTGTGAGCTACCAGTTGCCTGGATAGACATTTCATTTTTAGGTTTGAGGGGTGAAGGACTTACTTCTTCCCTCTTAGCCCAATCTTATGTGTGTAAAGGCAGAATATGAAGGATTGACCCCAGGTATATGTGGACATGGTTGACACAGGCAGGGCAATCTGACCTGCGCCACACCCCATTGTGGGCCTTGACAGTCACCATCCTAGGCCCCTCCCCCCATGTATCTCTAGCCCCCAGCTGCTATCAGCAGAACGCCCTCCACCCAGGCCTACCTTTCAAGAAAAGAAAACTACAAAGAAAACCTACAAAGAAAAGAAAACTCTCCGGTGCTCCAGGCTTCTCTGGATGGATCGGTTTACCACTCTCTGCCCTGCCTATGCCCTATCTTCAGTGACAAGCAGAGTGACCTCCCTCCTCTAGTCCCGTGACTGCATAAAGATGTCCCTGAACAAAGACAGGTGACATTTCTCCCTCTCCCATGAGAGAATTGGCCTTGTCAGCTCTGCTAGCAATAAACTCCTTTTGTTCTATGTGACTGCATCTGTGTGGTCTTCTGGACTGGTTACTTTCATTTCAGGCCTAACTGCAAGTCCCCACCTCCCCTAGCCCAAATAACCTCTTCAATAACTTCAGTCTCCTTGCTCAGACCTCATAAAAGCCTAACTTCAACCCCACCTCCTTGCACAATCTCCAAGCCTGTGTGAAGGTTTCTCACCTCATTAAATCGTCTTTTCCTGTTGAGATCAAGTCCAGCCTGTTCCTTTCTCCTTCAGTTTTCTAACAAGGGGAAATCCCATAGCGTTTCTTTCTGGAGCATGTATTTTGTCAGAGCCTCTGTCCACTCAGAGGCAGCCTTCACTCAACCCACAACAATTGTACCACAGACTTTCCTATCTTACAATCTGATTCCCAGAGAACCTCTTTGGTGATTGCCTTTATTTTTAGTGGTGGTGGTGGTGGTAGGGCTTAAGTTTATGGCCTGCACACTACACCTGAGCTGCTTTTGTTCCACAGCTCCTTTTCCAGGTTTTCTGGTGGTTGCCTGGTGTTTGCTTTTTGATGAATAAAATCAATCCCACTGGAATCTACCCTCTTCTCACCTAGGGTAGCAAAAGGGCATGGTCAGCTGCTGCCTTGGCTGTGTCCTGGCAGGTGGAGGAGGAAGCCGTATTTACCACCAGATGGCGCCCGGGCTCCCCAAAATGGAGGACCTACCCTTGGCCTCAAGTACCCCATTCACTAGATCTAGTGATCCATAGATTACACTCCCACTGCCTCTCGCAGAATATGTCCATTCTTGAAAAACAACCAGCTAAGCTTTCCAGACATGAGTGGGTGAGGTTAGTAGCTAAGGGGAGTTTGGGGCGGGGTCTGGGTGGAGCCACTAGTGGGCGGGGCTTGGAACTAAGGGGAGGTTAGGGGCGGGGCCAAGGGGCGGGGGGGGGGATTAAGGGGGGGTAAAGGCTGAACCTGGAGTCCCGGGTCAGGGTGGGGTTCAGGGCGGGGCCTGGCTCGGGGCGGGGCAAGGCCCTGGGCGGGGTCAGCGCAGCACAGCACTCCCTCGGAGGGAGTTCGAGGCTCGGGCCCGGCAGGTGCGCACGCTCGCCGGCTGCAGTGCGTGGACTCCCGGCCCTGGATCGCGGGTCCCGGGCCCGCTGGGACCGCCATGCCCTCCTACACGGTGACTGTGGCCACCGGCAGCCAGTGGTTCGCGGGCACCGACGACTACATCTACCTCAGCCTGGTGGGCTCGGCCGGCTGCAGCGAGAAGCACCTGTTGGACAAGGCCTTCTACAATGACTTCGAGCGCGGCGCGGTGAGGACGCGCGGCGGCGGGCGGCGGGGCGGGCGCGGGGCCGCGCGGGGCGGCGGAGCGCGGGACCTGGGGCGCCCCCGGGGCCGGCGGACCGGAGGGCAGGTGGCACCCGGCCGAGGAGGGGGGTCGGCTGGGCGTCGCGCTCCTCCACGCGAGGAAAGGGCTCCGGGCTTCTTTTCCATTGCACGGAGGCCCCTGCTCCGGCGGTGCCACGCCCGTCCCGTGCGCCTGGGCGGGCGGGCTGAGCGGGGCGGGCTGAGCGGGGCGGCCCGGGCGGCGCGGGGCGGCGGGACGCAGGTCCTCGCCCCGGCCTCAGGCAGCGCAGCGGTCCCGTCGTGAGTCGCGGGGAGCCCCGGCCCGCTCCTGGGACCCGGTCTCCGCACCCCGGCGGCGGCCGGCAATCTAGAGGAAGAACTAGAGGGCCCGCGCGAGAGCCCTTCGTGAAGGGCGGAGTTTTTAGAACCTGGGAACAACACTTCGGTCCCAGGGGCCAGAACTCCTCCGAGACCCCGGACCCTGGGAATTCGGGGATCCGAGGCAACAGGCGATTGCGGTGCCTGCGGCTGGCTGCTTCAGCTGGCACCGCCAGAAGCCAGCCACTGGGAACCTCACTTAGACGCTGGTGGTGGGGTTGGAAGCGTGCTCCAGCGGACTGAGCGCTAGCCAGTGAGCACAGTGTCAGGTTCCGAGGTTGAGAAAGGAAGAAAGGGAGGGAGGGAGGGAGGGAGGGAAGGAGGGAGGGAAGGGGAGGGAGAGAGGTAGGGGAAGGCAAGGGAGGGAGGGAGGAAGGGAAGGGAAGGGAAGCAAGGAAAGAAGGAAGGAAGAAAGGAAGGATGAAGGAAAGAAAGAGATAAGGAAGGAAGGAAAAAAGAGAGAGGGAGAAGGGAAGGAGGGAGGAAGGAAGGAAGGAAGGAAAAGGGAAGGAAAGAAAGAGATAAGGAAGGAAGGAAGGGAAAAAAGAGAGAGGGAGAAGGGAAGGAGGGAGGAAGGAAGGAAGGAAGGAAAAGGAAGGAAAGAAAGAGATAAGGAAGGAAGGAAGGAAGGAGAGAGAAAAGAAACTAGTGAGTGCAAGAGGGAATGGCTGAATGGATGAATAGGTTGCTAGCCTCAGATGCTGGTGAGCTTTCTCTGAAAATGCCTTACCTAGTACCTGGGGCCCAGAAAGTGCGGGTGGTACCGGATGCTCATGGCTCACACCTGTCATCCTAGTAACTCAGGATGAGATCTCAGGATTGTGGTTCAAAGCTGACCTGGGCAGTGAGACTCTTATCTCCAATTAATCACAGAAAACAAAAGGCAGAAGTGGCCCTGTGGTTCAAGTGGTAGTGTACTAGCCTTGAGCAAAAGGAGCCTAGGGACAGTGCTCAGGCCAAGTTCAAAGCCCAGGACCAGCAAAAAAAAAAAAAAAGGGGGGGGGGGGAGGGAGGAGAGAGAAAGAGAGAGGAAGGAGGGAAGGAAGGAACGAATGAACAAACGAGGGAGGGAGGGAAGGAGGGAGGGAAGGAAGGAAGGAAGGAAGGAAGGAAGGAAGGAAGGAAGGAAGGAAGGAAGGAAGGAATTGCAGCTGGTAGTAGGCCTAGACAAACTGCAGATGCTCTGAGAATATCTGTGCCCTGCCATCACCACCTGTAGTTCCTGAACCAGACTATAAATAAAATTCTATCAAGCTGCCTACCCACCACCATTTAGCTTATTATTAGGCAAACCCATATAAAATCACTCAGAATTGACTGTGATTAACACAGCTGGTGAGTCCATAAGTTTCAACATAAAATTCATGAATTCATTCCAGAGTGTGCAGAGCCTTAAGAGAAGAAATAATAGTCACGTTCCTTCCTAGATTCCCAACTCTAAGTAGGTTGATTTCTACCCTGCAGCCTCAAGGCCTTGATGTAATTGGACCTGAAATTTAGCTAACCTAAGCAGACTCTTAATCTGGCTGGACTTCCTCTAAGAGTAAGATGTTGGACATAAGAGTGATTTCTATTGCTTTGTTTCCGCAGTCAGAGAACTGGCCCTGAGCTCCTTGCACAGTGCAGTAGATGTGACATGCTTTAGGGTATTGGTAGCCACTGCCATTTCCAAAGCCCCTTCATTGGTTTCCAGTGTGCCTTGGATTCCCACAATAGCTCAAGGAGGAGGACAGAGGGCAGACTGCTTCCTCTTTATGCAGAGGCTTCAATGGAGCTCATTCTCCTCAGCACACCACAAGGCTCAGAAAGCATGGGCCACCAGTGTGCTCAGAACTGCAGCATGGAGCACCCTGGGTGGCTCCCCCTGAGAGGGGACACTGGTGTTCCTATTGTGGAGTCATTGGATAAAAAATGAAAGATCTATTCTGTTCTTTACTTCCCTTCCACTCTTCCACCTTCTCACCTGAGCTCTCATTCAAATAACATTGCCATTAAATATCTCTGCAAGAATCCCAGAGGCAAATTTCAAGAGAGATTTGCAAGCACATTTCCATTAAGATGACAGAACAGTGGGTAAAGAGGGGCTGCGGTACCGCACCGGAACCAGCTGGGTGCAAAAGGTCCTTTGGAAAATAATCAGCTTTTGAGAAAGTTCCTGTTGATGCAAAGTTACTTCACACTGTCTTGCACAGCCCTGAGTTACTTCCTCCTGCAGCCAGAGTCTGAGTCTCCGTTAAAGACAAGCTGTGGAAGTGAAGCTATGGATCAAGTGGTAGAGGGCCAGCTCTGAGCTAAAGAGCGAAGAGACAGCACCCAAGTCCTGAATTCAAGCCTCAGCACACACACACACACACACACACACACACACACACACACACATATATTAAGCAGGGCACTGTAAGCTTACACCTGTAATCCTAGCTTCTCAAGTGGCTGAGATCTGATGATTATGATTCAAAGCCAATGTGGGCAGGAAAGTCCATGAGACTCCAACAAATCAGCATAAGCCAGACATGGAGATATGGCTCAAGTGGCAGAACATGAGGCTTGAGGGAAAAAGCCATCTGAGAGCACAGGCCCTGAAGTCAAGCCCCAGTAACAGCACAAAAAATAAAAATAAAAAATAAAAAATCAAGACAAGCTGCCCTTTTCTGGTAAGGTAGAGAAGAGAAACCTTAGAGGAAGTATTTGCATAGCAGGTAAATACCATTGGAACACTGAAAAGTGTTAGCATCAGAACCAAAACCAGTAAGCATAACCACAGTAAAGATTATTTCCACACAATAGTTTCCAGGTGATAGATGGTCAATATATTCTCCCCCAATATGCAATTCAACTGAGTAATAGACAACTAATTCTTTTTTCTGTACTAGTGTTGGGGTTTGAACTCAAAGCCTGGACACTGTCCCTTAGGTTTTTCACTCTACCACTTGAGCCACAGCCCCAGTCCCAGTTTTTTTGGTGGTAAATGGAGATGAGATGAGGGGCTCAAGGATTCCCCCCCCAAATAGAATATATATTCAGAAAGAACATAGTAAGATATTTATTATATGTAATACATTATATAAAGAACATATTAGAATAATATATCCTGGCTTACTAATGCCATAATATGGATTATATTAATCCATCACTGTATTTCTTTTTATCTTCAGTATCTCTTAAGAACCAGCCCTGCCTCACAATCCCACCTCTTTCCTGAATTCTGCCTCCTTTGTCTTCCTCGTCTTCCTCTGCTCCCTGTTTCTTCAAGGGTCCTGTTTGTCATCTCTACAACTGTCCCTTCTTTCTGCTCCAATGTCTCCTGTTCTGTCTGTCCTCCAGCCTCCCCCTAATTCTCCATCTCTGGTCCCCAAATCCCCTGCTTCCTATGCCACATTTTCTCTCCTTCTGCTCCACACCTTCCTAACTACTGTACTGCAATCTCTCCTCATCTCTCTGTCCCATTCTATCTTTTGTCTGCCCAGCAATCTACCTCTCACTATTTTTATGTTCCAGAGCCTCCTCCTCCTTCCACTCAGCTTCTTATAAGACCCCACCCCCAAGATGTGCCCCCAAGTGGGCTGCCTCCTTGGTCCTTCAGAAATCCTTTTCCCCATCCCACCCAGCAACAATGGCGTCTGGAATAGGGACTCATGAATGTGTGGCCTTTCTTAAAATGCTGACAGAGTTGGGTGCTGGTGGCTCATGCCTGTAATCCTAGCTTCTCGGGAGACTGAGATCTCAAGATCCTAGTTCGAAGCCAGCCTGAGCAGGAAAATCCTTGAGACTCTCATCTGTAATTAAGCACCAAAAAAGCCGGTAGTAGAGTTGTGCCTCAAATGGTAAAGTGTTAGCCTTGAGAAAAACAGCTCGGGGACAGCACCCAGATCCTGACCAGGACCAGAACAATTAGAGAGAGAGAGAGAGAGAGATTATATTGGAGCTGATTAACATTACCACATAGTGTTTTTACCATACATTTTCTGTGTTTAGATATGTTTACATTCATAAATACTTCTCATTGTGTTATAGTTGCCACAGTATTCAGTGCAGTGATGTTGTGTTTGTATTTGCCTCCTAGGAGCAATCATGCCATATAACTGGCATGCGTAGAAGCTACACTATGTAGGCTTGTGTGACCTCACACTGTGATACTTGCACAATGACAAATTTGCCACACAGCACAGTTCTTAGAACATATCCTGTCAGTCATATCATGGGATGCATAACTCTAGTGAGAAACTTTTGAACCATATGCTCAATACAAAGTTGAAAGCAGTGAATATAATTAGCCAACTGGCCTCTCCTTGAGGATGGTGAACTACATGCTTCCTATGTCTCTCTAGCATCTTGAGCAGCCCAATGGCCTCTTCTATCCCAGGAACTCTATCCCTAGTCTTTCTCTCTTGTATGTGAAGTCCTGTCTTGGGATTTTGTTTTGTGTGCCACTCCTGGGGCTTGAACTCGTGGTCTGGGCCCTGTCCCTTAGCTTATTCATTTAAGACTGGTGCTCTACCACTTGAGCTACACCTCTGCTTCTGGCTTTTTGCTAGTTTATTGGAGATAAGAGTCTCACAGACTTTCCTGCCCAGGCTGGCTTTGAAC